AAAGAGCAGCAGCCAGTGCACACTGTCCCTCCTGGCAGCACACCCTGAGGAGAGGCAAGCCCATGTCCCTCACACAGGCAGCAGGAGAACACAGCGCACATCCAGCTCCCGCCAAATGATGCCTGGTGCAAAGGAAAAGGTTTGGCAAAGCAGAGTTGTCTACAGCACTCACACTCTCTCCCAGCTATAGACTGGGTTCTTGTTCCCACTGGGATTTTCTTTCTTTTGCACACATCAGTAAGAAAGTGAGAATGAGTGGGCCAGGGATGCCAGCAGAGAACAGAAGGAATAATGCTAACACCGGTGGGGAATAATTTAAAAGGCCAAGAGGCAAGACTAACATTTGAAGTCACCGACAAATCCCTGGAGTTGTCAATATTACTGAGTATTTTCTGTCACCCTCCCAATGTTCCCCTTTTACTCTGAAATAGCTGTTCCAAGAAGGAGGGCAGTATTTTTACAGTTGTGCTCCTGAAGCTTGGCATTCGAGATGGGTATTATCAACGTAGGTCCTAATGCAAGCTGACTAGCCTAGCAGCAATGCTGCCCTCGGTGCTGGGAGGCAGGGGCTGCTCAGGGTGAGCACCTTGTGCAATGGATGCAGGGACTTTGCTGCTAGGAGTGGGCCTGGGGCAGTCAAAGTGTTCAGAGTACTCCTTCAACATCCACTTTATAAGAGAAAAAGATGCAAAGACAGAAGCCACCAGGATGGTGAGAAGGAATCAACTTAGGAACATCAGAAGCTCATTAAGTACCTCCCTGTAAGTCACTTAGTTAATCTCTTTCCCCTCAACATCCCCCTGGAAATCACTGGTGATGACACTAAGAGTTAATCATCAGAAAGCAGGATTTATCTTGGTTTTATCCCAGCAAACAGCAGAGTGCCATGGCAGCTGCTTGGCCACAGCTACCTACATCCAACAGGATGGTTTTGGTTACCAGCAACGCTGCCCTCCCAATACATCAGTCCTCCCAAGGCACAGCCAGCAACACTGCAACGTGCACCTCCCCTGGGACATCAGACACACATACCCTGTGCACGGATGTGCCTTTCAAGGCTGCCACATGACTCTGCCCCAACACCCCCCCCAGCAATGCTGGTAGCATCAGTCGCTCTCAGGGGAGGTTGTGTCGTCCTAGTGGAGCGGCCCTGGACATGCTCCTGGTATACCCCACACCCTACAGCCTTTGCATCCCCCTCAGATGTTCTGCAAACCTTGGCTCGCTCCCCGCTGTGAAGCCAAACACTGCTGATGGATCAGCCAGCAGGGGGAAACGTTCAGTATTTTACCCATGGTGATACAGACACCATTCAGTACCATGCATGCTCACTTCAGGTTGCCGCTCATGCCAACACGGTTGTCACTCAGCATTGTTCCACCTCTCACAGTTATGACCCCAAAACTCGTATTTCTGCTAATGTTAAAACAGGCTTTGAATGTTTTAATATCCATGCTAGGAGAGGGCAGGGCTTGCCATGGGAGGACAGGCAGCATCCTCGGCAGCACTGCTGCAAAAGCATCCAGTACTCCTGAGCATTCAAAGGTTCTCCTGCCCCTGTGTGATCTGTTTAAGGCCTCAGCACACTAACCAGGGTAATAAAACAAAGACCAAGGGAGAGATTGGAAGATGAGACTCCAGAGGGGATGAAAAGGAAAAAAAAAAAAAAGAAGATGAACTGGTGGTCACACAGGAAAGCATATTTACGGAACAGGAACGTAACAACTACTTTTCAGCATGTACTTGTCAAAGAGCAACTTTTTTTTTCTGGGATCAGTCCCTTTTCTGCCCTTCAAGCATTACTAACACTTGTGATTCCAGTGATATTTCATCTTCTTTTTAACACTCCAATTTCTGGATTTGGAAGACAATGAGAATTTTAACTTCCAGGCCTTTTTTTTTTTTAAAAAAAAAAACATGAAGGAAGTTCAGCCAGACAAAGAAGAAACCCACAAATACCTTTTTTACAAAAAAAAGGCCCATCTGAATAGGAAAGGCATGATTCTGCATCTTGATACACCTCTGCATAAAGGCAGTAGACAATTTATCTGTTCATTTCTACTATGCTTTTTAGGAGAACCAGAATAAGAGAGATCATCTGTTCAATAGTTGGTCTTTAAGGGGCCAAAAATCTGCACAATTCAGCCACAGCTGAGCTGTTGGAAGGCGTGATTATCTAGAAATAGGACAGGCTTGAAGAAAAGGAAAATTGAAGGTAACAAAAGGACAAAAAAAAGGCCCATCTGAATAGGAAAGGCATGATTCTGCATCTTGATACACCTCTGCTACCTCAGTTACATGAAGGGGGGTTCACTTCATAGTTCACTACAGGAACTAGCCAACAGTCAATTAATTTGCTTTACTGTTTTCTTTTAAGAAATACAGCTGAACTTCCTCCATTTCCATTCACTATTTCTCCACCAACAGAAGGCCTGAGTCAGAATGGTATTTTCTTTAGACAGTAGTTAATAAACATTTAAATCTGTTTTCAGAGTCTATATACCATTAAAAAAATATATTCCCTTGGAAGAAAATCCACTTATCCATAGCATTTGCACACAGAACAAACCCTGCCTGGTTAAAAAAATAAATGTATTTTAAAAGTGTATAATCTAACCTGCATCTTACTGCTCGCACTACCTATTTACCTTGTGCAAGTCACTCCACCATGGACAATGAGAACAAACTGGTCGTTTCCAGTTTCACATCACAGAGCAAATGCTTTAGTTTCCCGACCCTCACGCACCGCACACTGCTTTTAAGGTTTGCACTGCAAGCAGTGCACAACCAGTTTCTATCAGAATTTTCTTCTAACACCTGAGACAAAGGAAAATTCAAACATATTTGACATCTGACCTCAGAGACCTCTGAAGTCCCATTCCCCACAAGTATGACCTTCTTTTAAGAACAGCTTCAGCTTATCATAAATCCAGATGAGCAATAGTGATGACAAACCTATACCAGAGAGTTTTTGGAAGAATTAGTAACCAGTTCTTGCCAACCAATCATCAATTCCCATGAAGTGCTCACTTGGCTATGATTATCATTACTTATAAGGGTGCCATAAAACTAAAACTGAGTCAGTGTTTTAAAAATGATTTAAAAGCCGTTCTGGATACTAAAGCGGCTCCCAAGTCCCCACTGCCAAATTGCATGTTCTTCTTCACAAGAAGCTGATGTTTCCTCCCTCGCATCCAAGAGAAAAGGCACCGCTTGTTCTGGTAACAGACAATACTAAGGAACCATACAAAGAAAATAATGGGTTACTTCACACATTTGACAGCTTACTGCAGTTTTAAAAGATTTGTGAAGATGAAAATGCATTTCCTGTATCTCAAATTATTTCATTTTAGGTACTTGTAGCAATTATAGCTAACATTTTTCAGACAAAAGTGTGGTTCTTAAATTACGGCATCCATTTCAAAGCAACACTCAAATTAATCTAGCCAATTTTTCCAGACCTGAAGTCCACAAGGCTAAGGTTTGACAAGTTCCAGTTTCATCTGTAACTAAATTAAAGCTAAATATTCCTGCGCTACTGAAGTGCTAGGGAATGAGACGACCTCCCCTTGAGGGGACAGCTCCTTTCCTCCCCGCGCAGCCTCCAACGTAAGAACTGTTCACCCTAGCAAAAGGGTGCAGGTGATGTGCTAAGCGAGAGCTTTGGGAACCCTGCATGTGTCATGTTTTACAGCTGGCTTTCAGGAGGGAGCTGCCAATTGCCAGGATTGCCAGGGGTGCAGCTCCACAGCAGCCGCTCAGGTCCTGCCCTGGCTGCGGCACCCCTGCCTCCTCCCCTGCCAGCGCTCCCTCCCCTGCCCGGGCACTTCGCTTGCTGATTTGGCTGAAATCTAACTGGAGAAAAAAAAAAAAACAAAACCAATTAGCGTTCAGCCAGATCAGCTCCCTGAGGCCTCTCGCCATGACCTTGGCAGCTCCCTGAGGAGCACAAAGAAGGAGGAAACATCGGACTGGGATGGAAAGAGAGGTGTGACTGTGGACTTAAAACCGGTGTAAACCATTATGGGACTGCACCTTCCAGTCACAATCAAGACAATTTTTTTGACAGCGAAATGAAACGAAGCTGTGAACCCAACATTGTTGCCAGGAGTTCAATGCATCAAAAGGCTACCCTCACAAATGGCCCCTTGGCCATTGCAGTCAGCAAAGAGGCCAAGGGCACCACTCTGAGGACATCGAAAAGCACATCAGAAAAAGGACCTCCCTCCAGCATAACAGGATACTTGTGTGGCTTGGTATGTCCCAAGGTCAGGGACACCCTGTGGTTAACTCTCACAAGGGAGCAGTGCATCCCACCCAGCAAACTCCTGGCTCACAAGGCAAGTTAGGTGCCCATTTACTGTTGCACTGACTAAAGACAGCCTTAACAAGTCTCAAATGAGACTCGGTCTTAAGCCTTTGGCTCTGTAACAACACATCTTAACTGCTCCAGGTCCTTGGAGGGATTATTTCCCTGATATTTTCTTGCTGTTTGAGTGAAACAAACGTTTCATTTTCCTGGGCCCTTACTGGGCCAGTGTTTTGGATCCAGCAAACAGTTACTCAGCTTCACAAAACAGTAATAGTGATAAAACTCCAGGATTTTAGTAAATATATGGAAAGTCACAACAATGTGTATTTCAAATCTTCGTACCCCAGGTGATCTCCATTCATTCCCCCTCCACTCCCCTTGAAATTACAGCAGCAGCAAACAGGATGTCACATCTGAGCCTCCAAACACAAAATGAAAACAGGCTACATAAAACTAGTAGGGTCTAAAAAAAAAAAATAGTCAAAGACAGTATATCTTTAAATTTATGTTCTGATTTTTTTTTTCTACTGACAAATACAACCTCAGCAAAAGACCTAACTATAGGGAGTATTAAAATGACATCAGAAGTTTTTCCAACAGTTGCCTGTACCGGAGCTCCTCGGGAGGCTTTGCTGCAGACCCATACAGCACAGGGAAAAGGAATTCGGTGCAAGGGGCTCATACTCACCGTCTGCAAAGTTTCCTCCTGTCTTCTGCTTTGGCTCTGTCGGTTGATAAAGGAGCGTGTCGAGAGTTTGTAATGGTTCAACAAGCAGATGATCACTACCACCATAACAGTTATAACCACAATTATAATGATGATCTGAACAAACTCCAGTTCAGCTAAAACAAAGGAAAAAAAAAAAGAGGAAAATATGTCAATCACACACAGAATGTTATCCACCAAAGCAACAATCTGAAAAACCCTCAGTATTTCATTGAGTTTGTTCTGGAGTAAGATGTTACTGCTGTCCATTTCACAAAGTTTTGTGAAGAAAACTGCGTTCTAAGAAGTATGAAAACTTTATTTTTTGGCAGTGCCGATCAGTTGGTATGAGTGGTTGCAGGACAAAGCTAAGAAACTTCTTTGTGATCCTTCTCTGCAGCCTTCACAGGTAATAAATTCTTCAGCATAAACACCACAAACAAGCCTTATGGATAATATAACAATTTCACTGGGAGGAGGAAGAAAAAAAAACCAACAAACAAAACCACACAAAACCCACTCGAATTTAACAGCCACCCTGCAATGCCAACAGAGTCCAGAGGGCTCCATAAGCTTCAAAGCAGAGGCCATGGAGAGAGGAATCAGGACACGGTACCTAGTAAACTATCACTAATTTTTTTATCAGCTAAATAGCACGAAAGCTACCTAATTCAAATGGAAAACGAACTTTTTTCCTATTGCATCTACACGCAATGCCTTTTTCAGTTCCCTACTTCTCTCCAACTAGAGTAAAATTAACTTTTCTAGGACATTCCCAGTCAGGTAAAAAAACTAAAAAGAGATCTGGTACTCTAAAACAAGATATGTTCCACTATGGTTAAAAATGAAACCGGGGCCTTGGCTGTTGGCATGAGATACAATTACAAGGAACTCCATCAGAGCCCATCATCTTATCTGAAGTCCTGCCTATACCACAAATATTAAGTATATTTAGAAATTAGTCACTCTTGCACCCTTTCGGCTATACTGGAGCAGCAAGGATGAGCAACGTAAGGGGAGAAACTGCCCTTTGGAGTTACACAGTTGCTGATATTTCTATGGAAACTGCATTGCTCACAGGGGATGCTCTCATCTTGAAAGAGAACTCCAGTTAATGGGAGGTTGGTCTTTGGTTGCTAGGCTGGTAGAAACAGCAAAGCAGCAGCGCAAGTTGCTCAGTTTCAGCACTTTCCAAAAATGGCACTACTTTTGGGCGCCAAAACATGAACTTTGGGGAACCAATATTAAATTTCTGTTTTAAAAAGCCAATGAGGAAAGAAAGATAATGAGGTATAAAAAGACAAAGCGAACATAGGAGAAAACAAGCTTCCCCGCCCCCCCTTATCTCTTTCATTTGTAGTCATCCTCAGCCTTCTGTGTAACAGCAGTACGCTTATGCAAACGCAAACACAACACGGCTATGAAGCTCAGCTAGAAAAATGCTGTTCACATAAAATCCAAAACAACCTGCGGTGGAACTAAAGGAAACCCAAGGCTGTTTCATTATTCCAAGATCTCTTGCAAACAAAACCTCAGACTACTACCAGGAGCTACAAGTGCACTGGTGTCCAGTGGAGGCTGGTGCCAAGGTCCAGCTGTTTGTCACAAGTTACCAGTGGGCACGGGCACGCCACCATCTAAGTGCTGAGGTTCTGCGATCATCTCAGCAGGAGTAACTAAACTACTCTTTCCTTAGCCTTAAGTAAAAGGGCAACAATACATCTATCATTTAATTTCTCTTTGCTGTTAAGTACCATCCACTCATTATTAAGACCACCAACATTTTTGGAAAATTTGATTAGTCAGTGCTTTGCTCTGCTTTTGCTATCAATCTCATATGCAGCAATTTTTTTTTTTTTCTTCTCTCTCTGGAGTCATTGGAAGCTAATGATGTCAGCACCAAAAGATCAAAAAGCAGGAAGCATAGAATTAATTAAAAAACAAACCCACCAAAACCGTGCTTAAGTAAAAAGTCAGTTTTTCTTGGCTCAGAAGCACAGAACACAGACTTGACACAGTTGACAACTGCTGCAATTCACATTCTGCGGCTACTAAGTATCAAAGGGTTTCTTTACCCAAAACTTTTTTTTTGGGGGGTCCATGTAATAACTTTAGACTGGAAATTGAGAGAGTGTTGCTAAAGGGCAACATGCAAAATAAGCAATGTTGATTTAGGCTTTCCTAGAATGCAAAGATCACTGGAATGACATGTTACTTCTCTATCTGCCAAGGGCAGAGTCTTCTAAATTTATCAAGGCCCCAGCATTTCAGTGGCGGGGGACAGTACCTCTCCTTTAGAAATAAAGGACTGGGACTGTGAGCATTTCCCTTGGGGGGGAATCATTTGGAAATGTCTGACTAAAACATGGCCATACAATAAAAGAAATGAAAACCACAGCACACAGGTGCGAGCCCACAGGATTTTCCAAGTCCAGCTTTACATCGCGAACATTAAAATGCAACAAAACACCCTACTGATGTTCAAGAGGATTTCCTCGCTGGAAAGCGGAGGGAAAGGAAAGGGGAAGGTGATTTTTAATCTCTTCTTCCTCCCGACTGGCCCTCCTGCTGCTCATTAGGTCATTAACAGGAAAAAGCAAAGAGACCAGAGCGGCAGCAGTCTCTATTTACTGCCACTGCTCAAGGCAATTCGAACAGTTTCTGGCAGCCGCTGACACGCACCGGGTGCCTCCGGCCCCCGCCTCGCCCCCTGCCCCGCACCTGCCGGGCGAAGGGCCCCCGCCGCTGCAGCACCGCCTTCCGGACGGGCACCTCCTCCTGCCCCCTCTTCCTGTGAACTAGGGACCGGGGGGAGCTTCGGGAAGAGAAGTGATACGGTTTTACCTCCCCCAGCTTCTCCGTCGCGCTCACATATACCTGTTTCTTCACGCGCAGGAAATATTTACAATCCATTTTTCCCCCAGGAGAGTATTTTTCATGGTAAACGCACAACACGAAAAAGGCAGCTATATATATTGAACGAAAACACCTTCACAGAAGAGTATGAAAAAAAAAGCAGTAATTTATAACCCCATCAACAATCACGGAAGCAACAGCGTCTGGACCGTCACCCTAAACCCTCCTCCGCAGACAGACTCTCCCAGGCCAGGGAAGCCTCCCCTGCGCCCCAGGGCTCTGCTAGCGAGCGCTCTCCGAGCTGGCTGGGCCGTAAGTCGGGCTTCGCTCCGGGTAACTCGGGGACGGAGCTCGCAGCAGCCCTACCCGTGCAGACACGGCAGACGGACAAACGGGTACCTCTTTCCAACAACAGGTCTTTTAACCGCGCATCCTTCACCGCTGTCCTGTTAAGCTGCTCACTGGACATGCTCGCCAAATATGCTCGCGAACGGGGGACGGGGGGCTCAAGCCGCTTCCGCCAGCCCCCCCGGCGGGCACCGCATCACCGGCAGCCCCGGGATCCATCCAGCGAGGGGACACCGTCCTCGGGCTGCCCGCTCAGCCCTACGCGGGGACGGACGGACTGACAGCCTCC